TGATTGAAAGTAAGATTTCCCATAAAGTACTCAGAGCAAAACTGTTTCCATGTCAGGAAAAGACAGTAGCAGGCTGCTGGCACTTTCATGTGAAGTAACAAAATGCACATCCATTATTTCTCTATGTTCAAATAAACACTGTGGTGAATATAGTGACACGAGACATCTGCCAAGTCCACAGTCCATTTCTTGTGCTAGAACCCTTTTTGTCTATCTGAATGAGAAAACAGAGAACTCCACCTTCTGAAAAGCTCTAGCACTGACTGGTACTGAAAGAGCTAATGTCAAAATAGAAAATGTCTTAAAATACTTTCTCCATTACAGTGGGTGGAAAACTAGTCCTTGAAAGTACAGAGATATTATTTTTCCTAATGCCTGAAAATGACAAGAAAGGATGAAGATAACTGGAAAATAACTATTTCCACCTGACAGCAGTGTTGAATGCTCTTATCAGCCAGAAAAACAAGCATCAGCCATGCTCAGAAGTGGATCAAAAAGCCTGGATGAAAAAGGCAGATGTTAATGTTGTGAAGCAATCACATCTGGGAATTCTACACATGTGAAGTATTCAGGTTTCCTTGGCCTTCAGGAAGGTCAGAAGTTAAAGTCAGGAGAAAACTCACAGTGGGACAGCTGTACGTTACCAGTGTATCCCCTTTCTTAAGATACTTTGCTTTTAATGGCAGCTGAGTTCCTTGCATAACATCTCTCATCCACTACCAAGCCAGTTAAATAAAGATATCAATTATTAGCCACATAAAAGGCTTCAATCATTGATCCAGAAAATCAGCTTAGTCTCCCTTGGCTTTTGCATGAACTCAATTATGCAGACGTAGGGCACATATTACACACTGGCAGAGAAAGCCAAACTCTGCAGAAACACTGTAAATATATTTATTTAGCTAATACCCCAAAGCTTACCCGTGAATGCTACAAATACCACCAAAATTCAGCATATCAAGCTCTTGTATTGCCACCTCGTGGCCGATGCACGTCAACCTGGCTTTACCGGGAGGACAGCGGATCAGGAATTCCTTCTACTGCATAACAAAGGAATAAATGTTGGCACAAACCGAAGCAGAGTTTTAAACTGAGTTACATTTAATAATGATGCTTTGCAATGGAATGAGCCTTTTCTCTGAAGGAAGAATATGAATCAAAAACTGGATGAAAACTCAGGTATGAAGTGGAAACTTAAGCGAACAGCTCCCCCATGATGCGTCAGGTCTGAAGTGTTCCTCAGCCTGGCACTCTTCCTGGTGGGACACAAAAGACAATGGTGCCACTAATAAGTGACTTCTAAATTATTCCAGTTAAGTAATCCATCCGGGAAATTCTTGTAATAGTTTCCAAGGTCCTGGGTGATTTGATATTCAATGACATAGAAAGAGTGGTGGTTGATAGGAAATGTTACCTTTCTTTGGGAATGACATCCCACAGTACTATAAGGCTTGACTTTGATTATATCTGCATCTACTTGAGAATAGTGAATTGCAAAGGAGCCATGAGTCCAGTGAAGAACAAGGACGAAAATACAAATGGAGGGGTGCCTACCACTGGAAGTGACATCAGCTACTGCCCAGAGCACTGTGTGGGTGCTCCCCAGGCTCCACCCAGGCCTTTCATACCAGTATTTTATATTTACTTTAATTTTGCATAGCAGTTCCCTGAACTGTCCAAGTAATTTCCTTCAAACCAAAATGAAGTTTATACACCTGCACTGGCAAGCAGGAGTTTCACCTTTCATATTTATTTTTATATTTTCTGAAAGCAGAAGGATTTTCTCCTTTCCATCAGCATCATCCAGAATACTAAGTCAGCCAGGATAAAGGATTCATTCTGAACAACTGAATTAGAAAAAGAAACATTATTATTATTATGTCTTGTTAGTTCTTATTTTAATCTGTGTTATTTTTCCAAGTACAATGCCATGAAAATAATGATCCTTTCATGACTATTCTATTTATCATAATGGAAGCTAAGCCTTTACTATCAGTTCTGGATTTCTTGTGTGAAAATGTTTTCAAAATGCCTGAAAAACATAATTTGCTTACAAGGCTAAAATAAATTGCTTTATGATTTATAGGAAGACAATCACACATAAAGATTGATGATTTATAATGGAAAGACTAACCACATTAATCATCTCTAACTGCATCCACATTTCTTCTACTTAGGCTTAGCCTGCCTCCTAATGGGATTTAGTCCCAAACACTTCCTACTTTCCCTGGTTACATTACTGGTATCCCATTATACAGCCAAGAGAGCTCACCCTTGGCTTTGCCTTGATCTTTTAAGTGAATGGTTCTCACGATGAGCAATTTGACCATTACAGTACGGCAAGGTGGCAAAATAGTCACAAAGGTTTTCTCAGTTATGCCACAAGCAAATACTTTGTTAGTGAGTGATACCAACGCATAAGCTTTGGGGAAAAGATAACATGTGCCTATACACATTGTGTTATCACTTACATTTCACGGGAGATGCAGAACTTTCTTCCCAAGACTTTTATCTTATTTGAAAATTAAGTCTCTGCATGACTGTAGAGAATGGAGAGATTTTGGACTTAGGATACTGTCATGTCTAAAAAGGCTGCGTAAAAAAAGAATAATTGCTGAAAGCTAACAAGCCACAAATAATAACATTCTCACAGCAGTATTTTAAAACAAAGAGGATTTTCATAGTTGATTCCAAGTGTGGGGTTGTCTTAGAAAAACCCAGTATTGAAACTGAATTTGATGGAGTCTAAAATCAATGACAAAAGCAGCTGTCAGCACCATAGTCTGCAAACCCCTGGGTTGTTGTAAAAAAAATTATTTAGAATGGAAAAATATGAAAGCATATTCCATATTAATTGGTCTGGTGTTTGAAGGATGGACCTTAAATGCAAAACAAGCTCAATATGGCACAAAGACTAATTAAAAACAGCTATGAACTATCAGAGGACATATAAAGAGGTCCATGAAAAAGAAACCAAATTAAACAATTACAGCAGAGAAAGAGAGGAGAAGAAAGGAACACACAAGCACCAAATACTCCTGGGTACACAGAGACAAGGAAAGAGGGAACTAGTTACTTTTCAGCTGGAAAAGACAAGAAGATAAAAAAATAGATATTCTGAAAAATAAGATCAAACAAAATAAAATAAATGTGAGGGAGGGTGACAAACTACACCAAAGGAAAAAGAAAACTACTAGTTCAAATGCTCTGATTATCTGAGAGATAAAAGTTGCAGAGGGATTAAGGACTGCAGAAAATAACAACTGTCCTCTTGCCTACAGACACCACAGAGTCAGCTACCCTTTAGATGCACACTGAAAGCAAATGCTTTTCCCACCCCTCGTAAAGAGAAAAATCCTCAGAGCATAAGCAATAATAATAAGAGGTGTATTGGTATGAGGTGTGCTCTGGAAGGCAGTGGGCACAACCAGAGCATCTGCCATCACAAGGTGATTATCCCAGCACCAGGGAATTTACTGGACAGGGGCTAGGGGAGGTGGATTCTAAAGCTTGTGCTGATGCTGTGGAGCTTTATGCTGGTTCACCATCCCAGCAGCCACAGGCTGTCCCTGTGAAATGAATGCAAAGTACAGGAGACATCAACAGAGAACAAAAGGGCAAAAATTAGCTCTGTAACAGAATTAACTGGTTCATTGCTGCTAACACAACACAGCATCTCAGAGATTTCAAATTTAATTTCTGGTCCTTCACCAGTTTTATCGCCCTTCTCTGGACATGCTCCAGCATATCAGTGTCTTTTGTGTCATGAAGGGCTCAAAACTGGACACAGGATTTGGGGTGTGCCCTCACCAGTGCTGAGTAGAGGGACCATCACTGCCCTGGTCCTGCTGGCCCCACTACTGCTGACACAGGCCAGGATGGCATTGGGCTTCTCGGCTACCTGGGCCCACTGCTGGCTCATGTTCAGCCACCCTCAACCAGCAGCCCCAGGCTGATTTTCCCCAGGCAGCTTCCCAGTCACTCTTCTGGGAATGCCAGGAGTTATCTGAAGTCAGTGGCCCCTTCCAGCACAAAGGAATCAAACCATCTGCTCCAGCTGGGCATTTACCTGAAGCTACAGCAAGGAAGAGCTTGCCATAGCCACTGTGTTTGCTAGCACTCAAACATGAACACAGAATGCTAAAGAGGAATTTCAGCTGAGTGTGAAAGAGGTGCATGGAGAACATTACCAGCCCCATTACAAGACAACTGCTGGTTTTTGGGATCTAGTGTGTCAGAACTACTCTTCTTGTCAGTATCATTTGGCGAGTTAATAATCTAAACTTTGCTAAGTTTGCACAGGATTTCCATTTATTGATAGTTCCATTGTATTATCACCTCTACATATTGCTTCTAACACAAAATAGCAAAGATTTTGACAATGTCTACAAAGTGCTTGCCATTGTCTGAAAGGTAATCCTTTTCCAGTCAGTGAGAACTTCACCAGACTGCCACAGCTCCTCAAATATGGAGAGTGGCTTAGACATTTCATCCAGCAGTCCCCTAAGGTCCTGTGAAAGTATCTCATCATGTCCTATGCACCCACAGGTTCCTTAGACAGGCTCAAACCTCATCTTCTCCTGCAGCAGGTGCTTCATTCTCCTCAGCCTTACCTTTCCTTCTGCAACTCTGCCGGGGTACTTGGAACACCTGCCAGTGAAGACTGAGGCAAAAAATCCATGTCATTCCTCAGCGTTCCCCATATCCCAGGTGCTCCATTCCCCTGCAGAGGAATTCCCCTGCCGCGTTTCCTCAGCCTTCCTTTTATCACCCATGTGCCTGCAGCTACACACCGCCATCTATAGTTCGAGTTCCCTCTTCCCAAGCATTCACGATATGTAACACAGCTAAAAATACCTAGGAATATAGCTAACACATTCTAGGAATACAGCTAATAAATCCTGGTAACACAGCTAATACATTCTAGGCTCTGTAAATTCAAAACCCCCAGCGTGGCCAGCTCAGAGCGTGGCACCCGCTCTGCCTCGCTGCCGGCGTTGAAATCCCGGGATTTGGGGCTGGGAAGGATGCAGCGGAGGAGGAGCCGACACACGCCGCTTCAGAAGCACCAGCCGCCGTTCCGGGCGCCCCGCACACGCCCCGGGCCCCGCCGGCTCCCGGTTCCGGGGCGGTTCCGGGGCGGTCCCGGCCCGCGGCCCCGCCCGCCGCGGCGTTCCCGGCGTGCCCCGCGCGCGATGGCGGCGCCCGCGCTGTGCCGGCGCTGCGGGCGGGCGGCGGGGCCGTGGGGCCTGCGCCGGGCCCCGCTCCCGCCGCACCCCCGCCGCCGGGCCCACGAGCAGGCGCGGCGGGCGCGGGGCGCGGCAGGGCTGCTGGCGGCGCAGTGCGAGCGCGGGCTGTTCCAGGAGGTGTTCCCGGCGCAGAGCGCGGAGGAGCAGCTGCCGGCGCTGCTGCAGCCGGGCCGGCCGCCGCTGGCCGCCTACTGCGGCTTCGACCCCACGGCGGACTCGCTGCACGTGGGGCACCTGCTGCCCGTCATGGCGCTGCTGCACTTCCAGCGCGCGGGCCACGACGTCATCGCCGTGGTGGGCGGGGCCACGGCGCGGCTGGGGGACCCCAGCGGGCGGGAGCGCGCGCGGGAGGCGCTGCCGGCGGGGCGGGTGCGCGCACAGGCGCGGGCGCTGCGCGCGGGGCTGGAGCGGCTGTTCGGGAACCACCGGGAGCTGTTCTGGGAGCCGGGAGCCGGCAGGCTCGGCCGCGCCACCCTGCTGGACAACGCCCGCTGGCTCGGCCGGGAGCCGCTGCTCCGCTTCCTGGGCGGCGCGGGCGGCCGCCTCCGCATGGGCACGCTGCTGAGCCGGCAGAGCTGCCAGGCGCGGCTGCACAGCGCCGAGGGCATGAGCCTGGCCGAATTCCTGTATCCCGCGCTGCAGGCGTACGACTTCCTGCACCTCCACCGGCACCACGGCTGCCGCATCCAGCTGGGCGGCCACGACCAGATGGGAAACATCATGTCCGGATACGAGCTCGTCACCAAGTACGGCGGGAGCGCGGGGCGGGAGGTGATGGGCAGGGTCCGGGCACCGGGGAGCGGTGGCAGCGGTGGGGTGGCCAGCGGGACCGGGGATGTCGCTGTCACCCTGTGCTGGGCACTGGCGACACCGCACCTCGAGTGCTGTGTCCAGTCCTGGGACACTGAGGTGCTGGAGCAAGCCCGGAGAAGGGCGGCGATGGGATGGAGTGCCCGGGGAGGGGGTACAGTCGCAGTCCCTGGAGGTGTGTAAGGAAAGACTGCACATGGCGCCTAGTGCCGTGCTCTAGGCGACATGGTGATGTTCGGTCACAGGTTGGCTCAGAGGCCTTGCCCGACCTCACCAGTTCTGTGATTCCTTAACAGAATGGTGTGCGACTTGGTGCTTAGTCTCCAAAGCAACGAGAGATTTGGCCACACACATATCTCTGTGATTTCAGAGGAGTAATTAATTGGCCTGACACAGCTTGGTACATAGGTACATTTTGACTGGATTTATATAAAATTTTAAGAAAAATAATAGGTTCTTGTATTAGTAAATCCAAGAACCAAAATAAAACACCCTGAAGCGTGGGACAAAATAGAGACAAGTCTGCCAGCACACACATCCTGGTGTAATTACACCAAATAGGATTATGAGACAGTTGCAGTAACATATAAACTATTTAAAGTACATAAATGTCTGTGATACATACAAAAGAACTTAAGAAGTTAGCATGCTGGTTTTTTTCTCTAAAGCCCTCTTCACACAACAGTGTTGTGGCATCTTTTTGCCCATCATGCCCAGCTTTATATCAAGGATAGAATCTTGCAGAATGCTCATATTTTTGTCAGCTTTACCAAGATATGATTTATTTTTCTTAACGTGCAGCGACTCTTCTTTCTCAGGATGACAGGAGCAGATGTGTTTGGAATTACTGTACCTCTTATTACCAGTACTTCTGGTGATAAACTGGGAAAGACTGCTGGAAATGCAGTTTGGCTCAACAGGGATAAGACCTCTCCATTTGAGCTGTATCAGTTTTTTGTCAGACAGCAAGATAACATAGTTGAAAAGTAAGTTTTTCTCCATCTTGCTTTTTGTCATTGCTCATAAAACCTGATTCTAACTGTTCACTGTAACTGCTTCATTTAATTATGTGCAACACAAGCTCCATGTAGAAGCATGTCTTAATTATAACTGTTCATGAAATAAACAGGCATGACTGGCTCCTAAGTAGACAGGATAGTGGAACTTCCATATGCTGAAATACTCATCAGAAAATTAGAAGGGGGATGAGAAAGGAGTGAAGCATAATCACTTTGTTCTGCCAGTGGGCTGACTCTCTTACATGGCATATTAGTTTTAGTACTGTAGCATCACAGTTTTTTTCAGTACACTACATTACTACATCAATTTTAGTAAGTTGTTCTGTATTCTTTTCTAAATCTGTTTTACTTTAAACGTCAATAGCACTGTTAAATCTGAGCTACTTCCCTTTCATGTTGGGACTTGCCTTATAACTTACTTCTCTCAAAAGTTTTGTCTCAAAAGTTACCTTTCTCAAAAGTTTGAATTATCCCCTGATAATTCAAATCCATGTTCTGATCCCCAACACCTTTCAGACTGAAAAGAAAGGTATGTGGGTACCTGCAATACACTGCATAGGACTGACAGCTCATTAAAATTGACTCTGTTGTAAAGAGTAGGCTCAGGGTGCATCTTTAAATTCTTGATTATCCTAAATAATCTTCCTGCTGAGATACTTGCCAGCACAAGTATGCTTCTGTCCCATGATGGCCACAGACTGGCAGTGCAATTTTGCATTAGCATATTATGGATCTCCTAGGATAAATACAAAACCTTGTTAGTTGACACATGATTCCAATAAATCCTATAAAAGTTTCAGAGAAAACTAAATTGCTGCCTGGAGTACAAGCTTCATAAAAGCAGCCGACACAAGCCTGAAGACTTGACCTTAGGCAGAATATTAAGTAAAATGTGAATTTTAAAGGTTTGATTGAAAGGACAGAGCATCTTAATATGTATTTCTTAAATTGACTAAGAATAATTTTCATGCAGTTACTGAAGTTCGAATTACAAAGACAGGAAATCTGTAATGATGGCTATATAGACAAAGTATTTTTTCTCTGCTCATAGATACTTGAAACTATTCACCTTCCTCCCTCTTGCGGAGATTGCCCACATCATGGAAATGCATGCTAAAGAACCGGAGAAATGGGGACCTCAGAAACGACTGGCTGCAGAAGTAACTAAGCTTGTCCATGGTAGAGAGGGGCTGGAATCTGCTAAGAGGTAGAGTTTGATTTATCAAGCAGTTTTGCTTCAGATTTCTGTGGTAATTCTCCATAGCTTTTCAGGGACTATTTTAATCTAGTAAATTGTTGCTTAGATGTTAAAAGAGAAAAATGTAATAATCCTGTAGAGACTTAAAAATGCACTGGAAATATTAAAAAAAAAAGTTGCAGGGCAGTAAGGTACAATAAGGAAATGGGGGTGTATTTAAAGTATTTCTGTTAGTTTGTGGGCTCCCAAAAGAAACAGGGAAGGGGAATCTGATGAGTCCAGTAGCACTTTGTGTGAAGTCTAGCTCTGTATTCTGAATGCTCTTGGTTCTCACAGGTGCACTAAGGCCCTTTATTACAGCAGTGTGGAGGCACTGGAAGAAATGTCTGACCAAGAGCTACAGGAACTTTTCAGACAAACTACTTCTGCTGAACTGATGCTTGAACCTGGGATGACTGTTCTTGACTTGTGTCGCAAAGCAAATGCCATTCCAGATGGACCTAGTGGGTAAGTTCTTGCCTGTGATCATGGGTAAATACTCAAAACAGTATTTACCCTTCTCAGAAAGAAATGGAGTAGTAGAGGCTAAGGGTAATTTCAGTCACTGTTGACCTGGACTAAGTGAAGTGTAGAAGAATTAAAATTTATTCAATTACGTATCCAACAACAACAACAAAAAAAAAACATGTAAGTGAACCTTCAATTCTTAATAAATAGCTTTCTCTTGCAATTAACAGTTGTTTCTGTTTTGTTTTTAAGGTACCGGAAAATTACAGATGGAGGAGTTTCAATAAATGGGAATCGTGTAACTAATCCTGAGACTGTTCTTATTCTGGGACAGCATATTCTGAAGAATGGAGTATCATTACTTAGGGTTGGCAAGAAAAATTACTACATTATAAAATGGCTGCAGTTATGACAACAGAATATCTCCCTAAAATGATGGGTCTCTTAACTGTGCTGCTTGAAGATGTACTTGAAGATATTTCTGTACTGTGCGTTACTACACAGCTCACAGACTGCCCGATGCGTCTTTTTCAAAGTGCATCAGAGTTCAAATAAAGGAGTTAAACCACTGAAGACATTGTAGATACTCTGCCTTATTCAAAGCACCACTCATAAGGATCTGCATAAGAAGAAAATGAAAATATTTATTTCAAAGCCCAGCAATGGAGATGTACTTCTACTCCTTTAACAGCCCTCTGTGTTGTAGAACAGTGCCCAGTTATTCCACAGGATAACCCACAGGAAAATGAGCCAAAGCAAACTCAAACCCACTCCTTCTTACAGCTAATGTTTGTTCATCTAACCAAGAAGCCTTGCTGGGGGCAAAGACAACCAGCCTATGGTCATGTTTACCTGAACAGGTTTGCTTTGAAGGAAGCTGCATAAAATTCATAATAAAGGACTAAATGATAAAGCTCTAATGTAAATTGGTTCTTGGTTATGTATGGGGACACATTGCACCAAAGTTTTCCAGCCTTCCTGTGGGAATACACAGGAAATTCAGTTTCGGAATCTGAAAGTACAGAGCCTTTCAAAGCTTAAATCAACCTAATGAATCCCTTTTAGGCCTTCTGTGTGCATAGTGTGACTTATAAGGAGCGTGACAGTCATTTCACTTCTTTGGTCCTGTGAATGACTGGATCCATGCTAGCATTCCTTGATGAAGGAATATCCTGGTTCTAGTTCTTAGGCTCTGCAGTCAGCTGGAAGATAGTGCATTATACCAGATGATTTGGAGCATGTACATTAAAGGTTTTTTTTTAATGTTAGCTGCTCAGGAGTTGTGGGTGAACAGCACCACAAGGATCTCTGGACCAGGAAACGCATGAAAGCAACACTGCAAAGCACTTCAGCTTCCCTCAAGGATAAGGCCTCACTCTGAGGCCACATGGAGAATAATTTCTTGGTCCGTGAAATCTTCAAATTTGCAGTGACAGCAGCCACAAGGGGTTAAGCCTTAATCCTAGCTCCTGGAATGTGGTGTGTATTCTAGAGTTGGGTGGGAAGTTTTATGTATCTTTTTAATGTTTCTTTTTACTTGGTAAGTTTCATGCTGATTTCATTTGCACCATGACTCAAGATTTCAGCAGTAATAAAATACAATGGCTTGCTTGTTAGAGATGACAGTTTCTTCTGGCAATGAAACTGAAATAATGGTACTTTCAGAAGCTCAGCATGTTCTTAGTGTTAATTTCAGTTTCCAGATCCTGCTTATCTGTCTCATAATGAAGCATCTCTAGCCTAATCTATATTACATAACAAAGAAAAGTAATTGAGTTATTTCTACCTCAAAGAAAGCACATGGAAGAAATGGGGGAAGGGAAGGGGAAAGGGAAAGTTCATCCACCTAATACAACCACCTTGACTACCAGTCAAGAATGGTGAAAGGGCATGCAGCAGGTAAACTCAAAACTGGGAGCATGAAAGCACCTTCACTAGCTTAAAGTGTCATTGACTACAAAACCATATCCAAGTGGTATCAAACTCCCCTAGCTCTCACCTCAAAGCAGTGTTTAATTAGCAACAAAAACCAGATGCAGTGGAGATCCTGACTACAGAAAACAGTAGCTACCCATTGCTCTCAAAGCTCAAGTAGAAAACTACAGAAAAATAAAATTACCCAGGATAATTCCATTCAAGTTCTCAACATAGGCACAACAAAGTGGCAAATTGTTTCTTTTCCCTGCTGTGGTCCATCAAGCAAGGATCTGAGTTTGCTATATCGAATCTGGCATCTGTCATTCATCCACAAAGCAATTAATAAAGGCAGGTTTTACACAAAGTCTGCTCTGTTTACTTCACTGTAATGCCTGAAGCACACAGACACCACCAGCCCCTCTACCCATCTGTTTCACCAAAAAAATTTGAGCCTGACTACTAAATACAAACTGTTCACATCAGGACAATACTGTGTTTTAGTTACAGCAGGACTGCAACAGCTCAGGTAACATGTCAGACTTACGAATCTGAACTTGGTTACAGTTCTGAACTTGGCTACAGGGAGTTTTCTCCACGACTGCCCCCCAGAGAGCAAGTTAGCTAAAACTTAAGCTCTGGTGACAAAATTTTTTTGAATTTCAATTAAATAAGGTGATCAAGAAGACAGCTGTAAACCATCAGTCTAATCTGGGAATTTTTCAGTTGCTGCCCTCATTAGGCTTTTTTTCCACAGCTTCCCCCTAATTTCTTTTAATCCTGGTAGTAATAGTAGCATTTGAAGTATTTTAGCTCAGTTCCAGAACAGATTGGTTCAAACCTATCAGTGGGCATGAGCAGCCTGTCTACATTATGAGTTATGGAACTATTCAAGAATGCAGAATTGAGTGAGAACAAGTGAAATCATAACTAAAGCTGCACACATATAGGTATGTATACTACTAACTTACAAGTGCATGTAAGTCCTGCCACCAGAACTACAAGTCAGTCCAAAATTATTTCTGGCATAATTAATTTTGTGTATTATCTGTTTATTAAATAACAGGATTGTTACAGCATGGACCTTCAAAGTCTTGCATTAAGGATTACAAATCAAGTTCATTTCTTGGCACTCCAACATTACCAAACTGAAACTTTTTGTGAAACTTAACAAAAAAAAGTCATAACATTTCAGAAACCAAATTAACACTGGAAATTTCACATGACAAGAGCCAGGTATCACTTGCAAGAATTTCTTCAATAAATGAAGTTCATTTGCTTTATGCAGCATTTCAAAACTTTACCAGAGTATTTCTTAACAAAGAGATTGCTGACTGAACTTTGGGAGTTAAAGCTTAGGTAGCAGATGACTTATGGACGGCACTACCTTGTTGAAAACTTCTTGGATGTTCAAAGCAAAAGGGAGAGAGGTGTCAGGTGAATACCAAACAGAAATGTAATGCTTTTGACAAAACTTAAAAAGCTTTCACTGATCACCAAATTGATTTAGAAGTGGTTTGCACTTCAGTCATATTTCTTAAATCTGAGAACTACCATCCCTGGATACAATGCAAGATAAAAGCACCTCCTTTGTATGCATTACATGTAATGCATACACCATGACTTTTTAGGCTATTTAAAAATACACAACATATATTTCTGTGTTCTGCATGAATTACCTCAGATCATACATGAAGTATCCAAAAGTTGCATCTTTTAGACTTAACTCCATGTGCTCACATTGATGCCAAACTGATTACCATGAGAAAAAATACATTTTTAAACAGAACTTCTTGTAAACTGAATTTTTAAATTTTTAGTCTTCAGCAGCTCACCAGAGGAATTCCTTTTTTGCTAACTGATTTCAGGGGGAAGGAACTGCATATGGTAATGAAAACCTCACTATTGTGGCCCAACACCATAAAATCAAGCCATGGAGGTTAACAACAGTGTCCTATTTTTCATGCAAGTTGTGTTAAAGGTATCAGTATAGTAAACATTTTCACTTTATACAAAAAGAATGAATCTGCTTGCAAAGTACATGCAAGTATGCTGACTGGAGTTTAAATATATTTTTAATATATTTTTATTCATCAAAATTAAAATGTTTACTTTTTCAAGGCTAGTGCGATCAAGAGTCATCTGTATGAATTATAATCAGAAGAAAAAAAGAAACCCCATCAACTTAATTTCCAACCTAAAATTTCATAATCTTACGATTGTCCTCAAAAAAACACAAAAGCTACTTACAGCACAATAAAATTTCCTCAAAAGCAACTGTAATCTCTGATATAAATATTCCAATTCCACAGACTTCCTTTCACACTGTCATACATGCCAAACTTAGCAGAATTTGTGGGCATCCCCTTCTCTCTGGCCAACTTAATCTGTTTTTAAAATAAACGCTTATTATCCCATGACAGTTTTGAAATCCAGTTTTATTTTTCAGTTCTGCCAGAGCAAATTTACTATCAGATGGTCCAGGGGCTTGGTCCCAGGGGGGAGGAAGGGGAAGGTGTCCTCGTGCCTGATTATAAACTCCAACATTCATACACAAGCTCCAGTGCACATTAATAACTCTGCAGCCATTTTTTAGTAGGCTGTTCTTGTTCGCAAGCTCCAGGCTAATTCTTCCTACATGATACTCCATGAAATCAAGGCTGAAGTTTTGTCTGCCATTGAAACATTTGGGGACAAAGTGAAAAAAAAAAAAGGAACACACATACATAGTAATACGCTCAACATCTCTACTGTGCTATAAAATGGAGACCTCCATCTGTCACAGTGCATGCAATATATTCATGAAAGAAAATACTCGGTGCTCTCCTTTCTTCACAGTATTGAAACTTCTACTGGAAAAGCAGCTTAAAACTATGCCACAAGACTACACCGGCTGTCTTAACCACAGGCAACCTGTTCAGCAAGTCAGGCACTGGAACTTGAACGTTTTTCCCCAAGTTCAAATGAGACTGTCACTGAGACAGAAGACTTGGTCTGCTTTAATTTGCACCAGAAACCTGGTAAGGAAACATTTAGAGCCATTTATTATATGGATTAAATACGACTTCTTTTGCAAAATACAGCATATTTTTCTGTTTGCAAATCAAACCAACTGTCTTTACATGAGCAGATTTACACAGTTGCAGTACACAGATAAGAAAAGTTCATAAATAAAAATTCTACTCCGTATACCATGCCTAGCAATTGTCAAGCCAATGTAACCTCCAATGGATATAAATAGTGTGGCTGATACAGTCTTCACCAAAGATGTGTCTCACGGATCTCTGCAATGATCTGGCTGGCTCGCTGGAGGGCCTGCACACAAGAACACACAAAAGCCAGAGTTAGTTATGCTGGAGAGGTTTCCCAGGGACAAAACAGCAGCAGTCTGGGAAGTGCAAAGCTAAAAATCAAACCAAAGCTAATCAGTGTCATTACAAAACAAGTAGCAACCCATTAAATTCTCAAGAAGGGCAGACTTCTTCACCATACACAGTTTTAAAAGTCTGCTATAAAAGAGAAACTGCAGCTACTTTCTATCTAGCCTGCTCAGCTGCAAATGTAAATGCTCATATGTAATTCTTTCTGGTCATGTATTGGTTTTAATTCCTCCAGCAGAGAAAAGCAATACATGAGCACAGTCTTAAAAAGCAGTAAAGAAAAAAGGAAGACAAGTTTTCAAAAAGCCTCTCATTGATATGGTGAAGTGCTCCCAGGAGCTCCTGATCTCTTCATTACCTGTAGCATGTCAGCTGCCTCTTTCCTGCGCTGTGCCATGTCCTCAGACTCTGTGAGAAGGTCATCCAACAACAGGGATTTGTACAGTTGGCCCACCAGCTCACTCTGGAGAGTGTCCTTCACGTGGTTCACCAGAAAATGCATCACTGCCTTTGGCACACTGCAAGTACATAAAGATTGTTTCTTTGAGATAATTGCTCAAAACCAGGCTGTTCCAGATGAAAAATGCACAATGAGGGCAAGCAGCTATACATAGCCTTG